TTAAATCTAAGTGAACAATTTAAATTGAGATTATATATATACACGGTTTTCGAAAAATTATTATTTTTATGTTCATACGTTCTTTTATATGTAAAAAGAACGTATAAACATAAAATGTTTTATATATATATATATATATATATATATATATTTATATATATTCTGAATACAGTGTACATATGTACATATATATGCTAACAGGGTTCCTGCTAGACTTTCAGGTAATACTTTCTCCTGTACTGTTTGTGGTCTTTTGTGAAATTCTCGATCCGGCCTTGAATTCATGCCCGTCATAGGGCATGCAGATAATTAGTAAGTGGTCGTTGAAACCTCATACGTCGAACTCGACCGGAGAGCCCATCATCATCATCATCATCATCATCATCATATATATATATATATATATATATATATATATATATATCCTCACCGCGGATTTTCACAACATAGACTTCAGGGATTGAGTAAGTCTGATCGATAAATAATTCAAATTTTAAAAATGTATATTTATTAGTATAGGTACCTCTATTAACTTGTAAAAGTGAAGTTTAAAATTAATTTTTAAATGTGAAAACGCTTTTATTTTAGCTTTAATTGAAAGCTAAAGGATTTAAGATTTAATATTTTCAGTAAGCAGTGTGGTGTCTTTCAGACAGAAATTATATTGGCTGAAACCAATTTTTTTCTATAAAATCGATAAAAATCGACCAATTTCGCCATATTCGTAAACAAATGTTATTTCTCGGTTTTAAAAATCTTGCAAAAATAAAAAAAATATATATATATTTCTGAAACGTTATTTGAAGAATATTAGCAAATTTAAAGTTAAACAAAAATTACTTGCTTATAGCATAAAATTCTGTATACAAACATTTCTTAACTACGGGGTCTTGTTTTTCTGACCTATTAATCGATTTATTGACAGCTGAACGTGTTCATAGTTAAGTATGGTAAAGCAGAAGATACATTTTATAAGTAGGAACAACCCTTAAAACTCATGACCTCTTAATGATAGATTTATCAGTTTGTACATCCATACTTCAGAAATTCTGCACGTAATCACACATACACAAACAAATCAAAATTCTTTTAAAAATATTCAGCGTCATTAGATTGTAATAAGCGTTACAATATATGATTAGTAAATATTGTTTTGCTTAACGATACTTCCTAAAAATTATCACACCGAAAATGAATTTTAAAAGATTTCAAATTTTATAAATTATTCAATTTAAATTGAAAAAATTTGTAAAAATTCATCTTTCGTCGAAAAAATTTGTTTTCTTCAGACAATATCGTCTTTTATATATATATATTATTCATAAAAGCCAATGAAGATTCTCTAATTAAATAATTTCTTAGTTTTATAGCTTTTTTATTTTTCGATTCAGAACAGATTTTCAGTAAGACGCGGTCCGATTTTGCAAAAAAAAAATCGATGATTTAAATTTTTCTAATAAATTTGCTTTTAACTGATATAGTCACTAAAATGATCACGTTGAATTTCTCAAATTTTCATGGAAATAAGGGTCTGAAACGCTTGTAAACAATATTTTTTACCAAGATTTTATAATAAACAACATTTCAAAAATAATTTCATTCATTTGTGAATAAGTCCTGAAAATTTCATTAAAATTCGACAATTATTTGATTTTTTTCTATAATTTCCAAATTAATGTGTCTGTCACCAACACAAAAAATTAGAAAAATATAAAAATAATAATGTTGCTTGATAAATGTGTTTAGTAACCTTATTTTGATATGATTAATAATATTATTATCATGGTTACTACAACTATTATTATAATTAATATTGTCATTATTGCCACATTGTTTTGTCGTTATTATATTATCGTTTCCCTCACTATTAAGACTAAATTTACCGTTAACACCAGTAACTATTATTATATCAATAATAATAATAATATCACAGTTATTATTACTATTAGCATAGTCACAATCGTCAATAATACAGAAGCAGTTAGGGATGAAAATACAAACATCATCATCACCATGTCCACAAACAGAACCCAAGACCAATGAGAGTGTGTGTACGCGTCTACATGTGTGTATGTGTGTGTGAAGAAGTGTAAGTTTGTCTGACGGCACAGATGGTCGATCTGTAAGGCGTCAAGACCACCCCCACCTGTCCCTTGCTGAGAGAACATCGGTACATATATAAACGCTGCTGTTATGACACCGAGCTTGAGTGACAATTCCGTATGTATGTATGCCCGAACGCGTGGGTGCGTGTCTGTACCGAGCCTCGGATTGTTTATATGGGTGTGTTTTTTGTGAGCTGGAGTGCATGCACTTGTGTGTATGTGTGTCTATGTATGTGAGAGTGTCATCCCAAACAAACCCAGTAGAAAATAGCTACTACCACCAAACATAATCAAACGTAAGAATAAAAAGATCCATTTAAAAATAAAAAAACAGTTTGATCGTAAAAGCGTGAAACCTAGGGTCACAAAATAATATCCATACAACTAAATATGTTAGCTCTAACACTGATATTATTTATATGGATGTGTTTTTGTGAGCATGCAACTGTGTATGTATGCCTATATATGGAAGAATGCCATCCCAAACAAAAATACGGTAGAAATCCCTCCTCCCATCAAATTTAATCGCAAAAATGTGAAACCCAGTGTCACAAACTAATATCCATACAACTGAATATATATATATATATATATATATATATATATATATATATATATATATATATAGAGAGAGAGAGAGAGAGAGAGAGAGAGATAGATATCGTCGTCGTCGGCATCCGTCCGTGTCGAACTAGGGCTGCCCAGACGTTCAGTTACCTCTGGCCTTGCTAGCAGAGTCAAAAGGAGAGGATAAACCAATACAGTTTGGTACCAGCGAGACTGCAGGAGTTGCCTGAAGGTAACACAAAGTGCCGTCAATCCACCTTAGGGGATCCACTCTGGGTTTGAATTCAGAGTTGTCATTCTCCTAGACCATTGACATCCAAGGCTATAGAACCTAGTCTGTCCAGCTATTTACCCATAGCTGGAGGGAGAAGAAGAGGATTAGCGCGTAAGTGAATGTAATGCATTCGACTGGAATTCGAACTCCACCATTACTCCATAGTCTCAATATATATATATATATATATATATATATATATATATATATATATATTAAAGACATTTTATGTTTAACGTTGTTATTTATAGATACAAAGTATTTAAACATGATAAACAGTATTAATAACATTTACCGGCCTGAATGTTCGAGAAATTTTCAAATAAATGTTATTAAATACTGTTTATCATAAACAGAGCATTTACTTAAATACTTTGTATCTTAAAAATAACGTTAAAAACATAAAAATGTCTTTAAATAAATTTCTTAATCCATTTCTTAATATATATATATATATATATATATATATATATATATATATAAATATTCAGAAATATCACCTGCCAAATAGTGCAATGAAACAAGAATTTTGTTGAGACATTTTTGACTCACTAAATAAATAAAAAATATCCGGAAAATTTCCTACGCATAAAAAAATGCTTCATCTTTTCAAAACACCCTCATCGAATATTTCACCTGATAGCTACAGAATTTTTCCTTTGATATAATCTCTATGAAATTATTTTCATTATTATTATTAGTATTATTATTATTATTATTATTATTATTATTATTATTACTGATCACCTTTTTTTTCAAAATGAGTAGCCAAATGAATTCCACAGTGACGCAAAAAGAAGAAGCGGGTTGTTAAATAGATTGCAAAGATGGAAGTGTTATGGAAATGTGTTTTGGTGGATAGGACAGAATAAATGTTAGTAAAAAGAAAACCTAATCATGGGCATATTCCGATTAAAGTGATGGATTGAAATATATATATATATATATATATATATATATATATATATATATATATATATATATGTGCAATTTTTTATATATCGAAAATCATTTTGAAGAGAAAACTATGACAAAGTGGAAAAAGTTTTTTCTGACGTATTTCGTCATTTATGACTTCATTGTGGTAAATTGATGTTCTGCTTGCTGTGACTACACATGCGCACAAAGGCCAGTGAAAATTCAAATTTTTCTATTATATATTTTGCGTATATAGTCTTTAATTTTTTTTGTTTGTTTGTGCTTCCATCATTTTTGGTATTAAATGTCCGACATTGTTAGAATAGAAGAGCAGCTGAAGGAAAGGTGAAATTTAGTTCGGGTTTATTTTGAAATTTCCAGAGGGTTACCTTGGAGAACGGCCGATGGTACAATGGTCGAAATGTTGACAAAATAACAAGTTTTATATGGAACACCTGATGAGGATTGAACTTAGTATCAATGGTCATCCAGACTGTTCTTTCAAACCATACGACAAACCAGGGCGCGTTATATATATATATATATATATATATATATATAGATAGATAGATAGATAGATAGAGAGAGAGAGAGAGACAGACAGACAGACAGACAGACACAGAAGTGTACACCGAGGACAACACCGACGGCTTGAAAGTACTTTTCAGTTATTTTTAGATACCTATGTTTGAGTAGAGGCTCTGTCTTTTTAACATTTTGGATAGATATCTAATGACTCAGATAGATAGATAGATAGATAGATAGATAGATAGATAGATAGATAGATAAGGAATAGACTGGCATAGATAGATAGATAGATAGATAGATAGATAGATATGAAAACTTAATAAATATGAATAGAATGATATAGATATGTAGATGACGGATTGATAGGAATTAACCGAGAAAGACATGAATAGATAGATAGATAGATAGATAGATGGGTAGATTTTAACATCTTTCATCGAATTCGAACAAATTCTTAGCTATACATATGCATGCCCCCAATGATACCTATCTCCACGCATTTATATATACATTTATAGACATACCTAAAAAGCTTTTATGCAAGTATACTTTCGTCTAAAAAAACATCTTTGTCACACTCTTTTAAGATTTGAAGAGGCAAAGTTCACATGAGCGACGATTGCTCGCAAAAACGATCAACTTTCTTTTTTTTTTTTACTTTGACAGCTGACAAAATAATTCTTTTCACTCAAGATATTCCGTGATCTCAAAATTGGACAGTCAACCCGGGGTCTGTTCATGGGCTTGTCATTGAAAAAAATACCTTTTAAGAAACCACGTTCTGAATGCAGCTCTGGAAATCTACACATGTCAAAGACTTAATTTCAGCCTTTCTATTATATGAAATATTCTCAATTAACAAACTGCCATAATAGTCGATTGCATCGCTGAGGGAAACATACAAAGAACTTTTGCAATATGTCTGGTTTGGTTTTTACTCCTTCATTTTTCATTCTCTTTCGCGTTTTCTTCTTTCTTTCTTTCTTTCTTTCTTCTTTCTTTCTTTCTTTCTTTTCCTTTTCTCTTTCTTTCTATTGTCTCTCAGTTGCTTTCTCACGTTTTCTTCTTTCTTTTTAGCATTTCTTTATTCTTAAAATTCTTCCATTTTCTTTCTTTATATCAGTTACTTAATCTTTCTTTTTTCATATCCTTTTTTTCTTCACTTCCTTCTGTCAAATGTCTTGTTTTTCTATTCTCTATCTTATATCAAAAATCTCTCATATCTTATCTTTATTTCCCCTCCTCGTTTCTTTGTTTAGTTCACCCTTTCTTTCCTTTTATTTTTCTCTTTCTTATCTTTTTTTTAATGTCTCCGTCACTTTTTCCTCTTTTTTCTGCCTTTTCATTTCTTCTTTCTTTTTATTCTTTTTTTCATTTATTGCGTCACTTTCTTTTTCCTTCTTTCTTTTTACTCGTTTTTCTAATGCCTCTCTAATATTTATTATTTTTAATTTTTATCTCCATATCTTCTTTATATGTTCTGTCTTTTTGCCGTTTTCTTTCTCTTCTCTAATAATAATTACCATGGAAGTGTTTCTATTTTACGAAATATACTCAATTATTAAACTGCCGTAATAGTCGATTACATCTCTGATGTAAATATTCAAAGAACAATACACACGATGCCTGGTTTAATGTTTACTACTCCTTCATTTCTCTTTCATTGTCTCTCTTACTTTTTTCTTTTTTTTTTTTTTTTTGTTTTTCTATTGACTCTCTCTTTCTTTCTCAATTTTCTTCTTTAATTTTTGTTATTATTTCTTTATTCTTAAAAAATGTCTTACATTTTCTTTCTTTACATGAATTAATTTATCTTTCTTTCATTATTTCCTTCTTTGAAATTTCTGCTTCTTCTATCGCCTATCTCTCATATCTTATTTTTTCTTTTTTTTTCCTCGTTTCTTTTACGTCATTCGTTCTTTTCTTTACTTTCCTCTTTCTTATCTTTTTTTTTACTGCCCCGTCACATTTTCTTCTTTTTCTCTGTCATTCTCTATTTTAATCTCTTCTTTTTCTATACTCTCTTTTCATTCCTTTTATTGCGTCACTTTCTTTTTCCTTTCTTTCTTTCTCGTTTTTCTATTGTCTCTCTAATATTTATCATTTTTCCTTTTTTATTTAAATTTCTTCATTCTCTATTCTTTACGTATTTCAGCTTTTCTCTTTCTATCCGTTGTCCTTCTGACAGTTTCTTTCTCATTGCCTTTTTAGTGCCCCGTCACTTTTTCTTTTTTCTTTCTTTCTTTTTGATTTTCTCTTTCTTTTATCAAACACTTCCTTTCTCATTGTCTTTTTATTATCGTTGTCAATATTTCTTCTTTCTTTTAATTTCATCTTTCTTTATGTTATCTTTTCTTTCTTTTTATTCTATCACCTCTTTTTTCTTTCTTTTTTCCATCCTTCTTCATTTTTTTCGCCGTTTATGCTTCATCAATACATGTTTTTTGGCTTTGATTTTTCTTCTTTCTTTCTTTATTAATCTATTACTTTTTTCCTTTTAATTTCTTTCTATCTTTTTGTCACAATTTATTTTCATTTTCGATCTTTTTGTTACTTTTTCCTTTTACTTTCTTTCTATCTTTCTGTTCCTTTTTCTTTTTTCTTTTTCCTTTCCTTTGTGCTATTCATTTTTCTATTGTCGCACCGCCATCATTCTTTCTTTCTTTCTTTCTTTCTTTCTTTCTTTCTTTCTTTCCCGGCAGAGTAACTGGCAAGTTGTATAGATGATGGCGGGAATATACTGCACTTAAATGATTCATCTTAGCTGTTTTTACCAAAGCTTCTTACCAAAGGAAGGCCTAAATTAGATATATAATGTTATATAGGAATAACGTGTCGCTGCCGACACTTAGGTTTGAACAGTGGGCAAATACAGGGGATCTCATTATTGAATTAAGTAGACCACGTGACCATAGAGGAAACACACATATGGGAGGTATCCTGTGTCTTATTGATCGCTATTTCTAGTCTATCCTCTATTACTATTCGGATCGTCATTTCTAGTCTATCCTCTACAACTATTCGGATCACTACACTGAATACTGGCTGAGCGAATATTATCAAGCAAGTACTATTAGTGCGAGTGTTATTCGAAGGTGCCTGACACTAGTATTGTTCAACGGCGTTACAATAGTTGTATCTGCGATTACAAAGCCTCTACTACAACGAGCATTACGAAAGTGTCAACGAGCGATCATTGACATCAGAAAAGGTAGATAGATAGAAAAGGCATCGATATGTAAATAGATAAACAATTAAATCAAACGAGTATTTGTTGACAATTTCCATTAAATAAAAGAAAATTATAATCTTCTTTTCGAACAATATAATTTCGATTCAAATTTTACCGATTCAAATTAAGTGTATTTTAACTCGTCAGGCCCCCGTCTGGAAATTTTACCGATTCAGATTAAGTGTATTTTAACTCGTCAGGCCCGTCTGGAAATTTTTGCGATTCAGATTAAGTGTATTTTAACTCGTCAAGCCCCGTCTGGAAATTTTACCGATTCAGATTAAGTGTATTTTAACTCGTCAGGCCCCCGTCTGAAATCTTACCGATTCAGATTAAAATGTATTTTTAACTCGTCAGGCCCCGTCTGGAAATCTTGCAAATTCAGATTAAGTATTTTAACTCGTCAGGCCCCGTCTGAAATTACTGACTATTTCTAAATTTTGTTCGTTCTAATGTCTCTCTAAATCTTAATATGTCTCTCCTTTTTTTTTCTTTTTTCTTTTCTTTCCTTCTTTCTGTCTTTCTTTTTATTTCTTTCCTTCTCAGCAGAGTGACAGACATTTTGTATAGTTGAAGGCGGGAATATACTGCATTAATTGATTCATCTTAGCTGTTTTTTACTAAAGCTTCTTACCAAGGAAGGCCTAAATTAGATAGATAGATAGATAGATAGATAGATAGATATGAACAGACTGAGAAATATATGAATATATCATCACTCATTATTTCTTAAATTGCACTTACCTTCCGCCTTTTTTTCTACAAAGCACTCAAGCCAGATTTCTAGAAAAGACATAGAGATGTAAATAGATAAACAATTAAATAAAACGAGTATTTGTTGACAATTTCCATTAAATAAAAGGAAATTATAATCTTTTCGAACAATATAATTTTTTTATTAAAATTTTTACGATTCAGATTAAGTGTATTTTTTGCTCGTCAGGCCCTGTCTGAAATTACTTTTCTAAATTTCGTTCATTCTTATGTCTCTCAGACTTTTAATATATCTATTCTTTCTCTCTTTCTTTTACTTACTGTTGTGGATTCTGTTTGAATCCTGCACAAATAAATAAACAACGCTAGTAATTGAGATAGAAAAATAAGTGTATTAAACGTAAGAATATAGACTTGAAGTGAAGATTAGTAGTCCAGTATTGCGGGTCAGTAGGAAGTATATGTACAAGTCTATGTAAGTAAAGCCGTAATTATATATATATATATATATATATATATATATCTGGACTCTTATAACTCTCTGAGAACACCCTGTGTCCTTCTCCGTATCTCTAAACCTGTCTTAACGTATCTCAAGGTATTCCATGTATCTCAACGTATCTCAACAGCAGGTATTTTCTCTGTCAGTATAAGTATACTTTGGACGAGTCCATCTTATGTAAAAAGGGGAGAGCCCCACAATACTTACTTACTTTCTTTCTTTTTTTCTTTCTTTCTTTCATTCGTTCATTGATTCTTTCTCTCTTTCTTTCTTTCTTTTCTTTTTCATTTTACTTTTTCTCAAATTTTTTTTTTTATTTTTCCTTCCCTTTCAGTATTTTTTCACTGTCTTTATCTTAACTTCCCTCTCACAAATTTTTCCGCATCTTTTCATCCTTATTTAATTTCTTTCAAGCTTTTTTCATCTTGAAGAAACAAATCAACATTCTTTGCAAAGTGTTCCAAAAAGTAAACCTTTTCCGAAACAGAATCTACCATCTGGAACTGGATGCGAGACATGATGACAAAGGCCTGATATCCATAATAAAAAAAATCAGAATATTGAGTTAATAAATTCTAAACATTTCGAATACATCAGTTTATTTGTAGATCAGTTACAACAAATTTGGCATAGTAAGTAAGGAAATTAACAGATGATAGTTTGCACAATAGATGTTTTTGTCCAATATCGTACGACATTACAAAATCCCAGTATGAACTTGTCAACTGAAGTCATGTTCTTAAATAGCGTCATCAGATCTAGACGCTCACGCGGATGTCACGTATGACATCCAACTCGTTAATAATTGCTTTATGAGTCCAATGATTAAAATGAGTTCATGCGAATGAAAATCCCAGATCTTAAAGAATAGAATATATCATAAAATTGGTATTGCAAGAACACTTGCAAAGAACTTTAACAAAAAGCAAAACTTCATCACTTGAAGGCATCAAACAGCCAATACCATAAAGATGGATAGCACATGTAAAGAGAGGGGAAAATAATGATATAATCTAGATATAGAGAAATAATATATTAGAAATCGTTTGCAACGAAACGGCCATAAGTACTAGAAAAAAAAAAGTTAACAGTGGAATTGAGGAATCGTATTTCTTGAAGTCTTCATAAATTTCAACCGTCACTAATACTAACTGTTCGGCCGATGAAGACGGAATATATCCTAAGCAGAAAAGATATTTTGAAACTTTTACAATTACCAATTCATTTTTATTTTCCTTTCATGCTGATTTTTGCAGATACGTTCAATATTTTTTTTTTTGTATTTATTTGTTCACATTTACTGTCGTGAATGTTTATCTTTTTTATACTTATTCTTATTTTATACATATTTTTTATTTTTATTCTTATTTAAATTTCATTTCTTATTTTTAATTCTTATTTTATTCTAATTTTGTTTCTACGTTACTTTTTAGCTTTTCTCATTTATCAATCTTTTAAAATATTTTTCTTATTATTTCGTTCTTTATTTTTTTATTTATTGTTTATCACTCTTCGTTTCTTTCCGTTTCTCTTTATTTGTCTTGGTACAATATCCAAGATTAGATTTAATATTATCCCAACAAAATTTGAATATTAACTAACCAATTTATATTCACAGATCCGAGCTTTTGCAAATATTTTTAATTCTTTCAGTGATTTATCTTTTGTTCTCTTTTGTTCATTCACGACCTTCTCTTCCTTTGACCATTTTAACATATATATATATATATATATATATATATATATATATATATATATATATATATATATATATTTTTTTATATATATATATATATATTCATATAATTCATATATATATACATATATATATATATATATATATAATAATATAAATAGTTATACTCGTTTGGAAAAAACATTAGGTATTTTGACATGTAATTGCACAAACCAATGTCCAAGGAAAATAGGGATAAAAAAGAACATGTAATTGAGACGAAAACAATCGTCCAGAATCCAAGTTCAGAATCCAAAGAAAAAACCTCCAAAACGTGTAAAGCAAAAGTAACTATGTAAATTGCTCAATACACTAAGTAAAGCAATCCTAACGACGAACCTAAAGAGCCAGGTAAACCGACCTAGGTTACACCTACAAGCTTGCCCTGACGATTCGTGTAGGTGAAACCTAGGACGGTTTACCTGGCTCTTTTAGGTTCGTCGTTATATTCATAAATATATATATATATATATATATATATATATATATATATATATATATACATAATTATTCACAAAAAACTAATGCAAAGGTTAATGATTTAAATGGCGCGACATCCATCATCGCAAACAATTCAAATAGTATACAAAAACCTCCGTATTCGTTATGAATGAAATGATCCTTGTTTATATAAACTTCTGCCGTATTAGTTCTTATTTTTACTACAAGCTTTCGTCTGTTCCTACAGACATCTTCAGGTATATAATAGATGTTGTTCTTGTTTTTCTCTTAGTAATATCCTAGATTAGATTTAATATTTAAATGTTTGCGATGATGGATGTCTTGCCATTTAAATCATTAACCTTTGCATTAGTTTTT